AGGGCAAAAAAAAAAAAAAAGATCAGGTACAGAGAAGGTCATTATATAATGATAAAAGAGTCAATCCCTCAAGAAAAGAAATCCTACATGTGTATGCACCAAAGAACAGAGCTGCCAATTATCATTATGTTTATGAAGCAAAACTTAATAGAACAGGAATGTACATCAAAATAATAAGGGAATACTATGGAAAAAGTCTACACACATAAATTTGACATCTTAGGTGAAATGGACTACTTCTTTAAAAAACATAAACTACCACAGCTCATCCAGTATAAAATAGATAATCTATTAGCCCTAAAAGTACTAATTTATAATGAGAAACTCCACCACCACTTGCAACATTTCCAGTCCCAGATGGTTTCACTGGAGAAGGCAACCAAACATTTAAGAAAGAATTAACACTGGTTATATACAAGCTCTTTCAGAAGACACAGGGAAGGGAACACTTCTAATTCATTTTGAGAAGCTATTATTACCCTTATATCAAAACAAGACAAAGAAATTAAAAAAAGAAAACTACAGACCAATATTCTTCATGAAAGCAGCACCAAAAATTCTTTTAAAAGTGTTAGCAAATAGAATTCAGCAATATGTAAAAATAATTGTACACCATGATGAGGTAGGATTTATACCAAGGACACAAAGATAGTTTAATAGACAAAAAAAACAAAAAAAGAAAAAAATCATAAGTGAATCTTTGGTATATAGGACTAGTAAAATGTTCTTAACTTGACACCCAATGTACAATTCAAAGAAAGAAAAACTGATAAATTTGATTCATCAAAATTAAACACTTTCGCTCTGCAAAAGACCTCGTTAAGAGGATGAAAAGAAAAGACAAGCTACAGAGTAGGAGAAAATATTTGCAAACCACATATTTGACAAAGACCAGTATCTAGAATATATAAAGGACTCTTAAAATTCAATAGCAAAAAAAATAGGCAATCTAATCAGAAGATGGACACAATACATGAAGAAACATTTCACTAAAGAGAATATATAGATGCAAGTAAGCAAGTGAAAAGATGTTCGGTATGATAAGCAATTGTTGTTGTTGTTATGTGCCCTCAAGTAGGCCCTGACTCATAGTGACCCCTCCTTGGGTTTCCGAGGCGGTATCACTATGGAAGTAGATTGTTCAACCTTTCTTCCAAGGAGTGGCTGGTGGGTTTGAACCGCCAGCCTACTGGTTAGCAGTCAAGTGCCTTAGGCACTATGCTACCAGAGCTCCCATGATAAGCCATTAGGGAAATGCAAATTAAAACTGCAATGAGATATCACTACATACTTATCCAAATGGCTAAAATGAAAAAAAAAAAAAAGTGACAATACCAAATGCTGACAGAGATGCAGAGAAACTACAGCATTCATACATTGCTAGTGAGAATGTAACAGTTGGGCAGGTCTTAAAAACCTAAACATTTTAACTACCATATGACTCAGCAATTGTACTCTTAGGTATTTATCCCAGAGAAATTAAGACTATATTCATACAAAAACCTATACAAAAATGTTTATAGAGTTTTACTTGTAATAGCCCCAAACTGGAAACAACTTAGATGTCCCTCAATGGGTGAATGGTTAAACAAACTGTGGTACATCCATACCATGAAGTAACAGCAATAAAAAAGGAACAAACTGTTGACACACACACACACACACACACACAAATACAAATGAATGGATGAATCAGAAAATTACGCTGACTAAAACAAAACCAATCTCCAAAGGTTATAGAATGTTATTTCATTTCTATAACCTTACAATAACAAATTATAGAAATGAAGAACAGATCAGTGGCTGCTAGAAGTTCAGAGGTGACAGGGCATGGTGGGACATGGTGTGGCTATAAAAGGACAACAACATAAGTGATGCTGTGGTGATGGAAATGTTCTGTATCTTGACTATATCAATGATGATATCTGGGTTGCAATATTGTACTACAGTTTTGCAGAACATTACCATTGAAGGAAAATGGGTAAAAGGTACAAGGGATCTCTCTGTGTTATTTCACCAATTATTCCTTACATCTGCATGTGAGTCTATATTCACATTTGCATGTGAGATACAAATTATCTCAAAATACAAGTTGAATTTTTAAAAATTAGTGCTTTAAAGAATTTGTCTTAATGAACATTAATGAATTTTTTCCATTGGCCAAAACTTGGAAGAGGATTGGGGGAGGTAAGTGAGGAATATATAGACCAAACTTTACTGTTGATCCCACAAGCAACTAAACAGAATTCAGCACTGCAACCCAGGGGTCATGCCCAGTGCCTCCAAATGGCTGTAATGGGATTTTTGCTACCCAGTTCTAAATCACAGAACTGGTGTTTACAATGGAGAATAATGTTTGTTAATGTAAGTTTGACCAACAGACAATTACTGTGTTCAGATTCCAGCCACATTAACCTTCCACAGCCATTTTTATGCTCAAGCATGTCTGCTCTGGTACATTTCTTCAAGAGGTAGATGTTTGATCAGAATTTCCCTCAGAAGTGATGTTCAATAGGATAGTCGTTAAACACATGTGCTTACTGAGCATCTGAAATATGCCTAGTCTGGATGTAGATGTACTTTAAGTGTAGCCTGCACACCCAATATCAAAGAATCAGCATAACAAATATAATATTTTCAATAATTTATTTCATATTGAAATGGTAACATTTTAGACATTTGGGGTTACATAAAATATATTATTAACATTAACTTCACTTATTTCTTTTGACTTTTTAAAAATGTGGCTGCTTTCAATTTAAAATTACTTGTGTGGGTACAATGTTTCTAATGCACAGAACTGCCCCAGCAGCTGACAGGAAGCTCTGAAGGTCAACTTCAAACTTGCTAGTTTTTGGTGAGTCAGTTGTCCATGGCTGCAAAACTGAGTAATAATAGCTTCATGAACAAATCCAAAATGCATTTACTTTTCAGTTTTAGAATAAAGGATATGTTCTTAGCTGTTGCTATGGATGCTACATTTGTTTAGAAGCGCTGAGTGAGTATAAACTGAGTGCTCTAGGCAATTGCCCCATTCATTTACTAGTTTGAAACTCTGATTAGAACTTTATATTTTCTTAGGTATTGAAAAGTTAAACTTTTAAAAAAATTGAACTTTTAATTTTGAGATAATTGTAGATTCACATGCAATTTTAAGAAATAATACTGAGAGAATCTAAATAGCTTTTATCTAGTTTTCTCTAATAGTAACATCTTCTAAAACCATAGAACAATATCACAATCAGGATAGTGATATAGTCAAGATACAGAACATTATCATCACCATATGTTGCCATTTTGTGGTTACACCCACTTCCCCCCCTCCTCCTTTTGCTTTAGAGCCTGGAATAGTTTATGAGGCAGCTGGAAGGACTCTCCTAACTCAGGGAAATGGAATGTTTCTTTCATGAATTAAAAAAAAAAAAAACACAAAAACCTGGCCCAGATTTTTGTTTATGACATGCACATACATATCTTCTACTTTTGCCAAATCATTCCTTTGTGCCAGATACAAGGAGTTTCCAGTGAAGAGAGGCATATTTTTGAAAAGCCCAGGCTAGTGCTCCAAGACACATTAATTTTAAAAGGCGGGAGGGAAATTTCTCTGAAAATAATTGTCGTCTAGCACAGTAGTAAATCATCACTCATGAAAACTGCACTCAGGCAGAATGCTTTTTTATGTGTTTAAGATGCCTGTCTGTCCCTCAGCATACTGTGTCCTGCTGTCACCCTGTTGCAGGGTTTGGGTGGCAATCTTGAACAGAGGAAAGGGTAAGCGATGATAGTTGGTGCCATGAGCAACTCTCTAGCCCTGCTCCTGCAGCAGCAGGGGTTGTATCCAGGCTCCAGATGTTTGCATCTTCTCATCTCCTCCCACTCTACCCACCCAAAACCTGAACCTTTGCCTCATCATATATTAAAGGGGTTCCCCACAAATTACTCTTACGTGTGTTTTTCCACAAGAAAAATTATTTTTTTTCAGAAGAAAAAATGGACTATTTTTTCAGAAGAAAAATGTTGCAAATGAATCATAGATATGCTGAATAATATTTCCCAAAAAGAAAAGATAAGCCTATAAGAATTTAAGATTAAAACTATACTTAAAATATTATAAAATAGTCATAAATGCACTCTACAGGAGGACCGACGTACTAAAATATACACATCCAGCAAATACCATTCTATTACCATAAGTTTGACTTCACATTGTTAGCAATAGTAAGTCTTAACTGCTGAATAATAATTTTTCTTGCTTCTTAAAATTTAGAAGCACTTTTTTTGAGGAATATTTGGATATCCCAGTTCACTTAAAAAGCTCTTCAAGGAAATCTGAAATGATATCATCTTTTCCCTCTTGATAAATATCTCCTGATTTTGATTATATTGCCCACATTTAACTGTTTATAGCACTTTGTAAACAGACTCAGAAGCATAAAATTTACAGATGAAAATTCAAAACATAGTGAAAGTCCCACCAAATGTTGGTCCCATTTCTACTTGTGTCTCTCCAATGACTGAGAACTGATGCCCTCCTGAAGCAGTTCACTCCATTTTTGGAATTCTCTATCAGAATGTCTCTCCTTTCATTGAGTTTTAGGCTGTTTTCCCATGTCATTTACTATTCTATCATTATCTCCACAAATCTCTTCTGGAAAGTCTAGTACCACTTTGTTCCAACCACTTTGTTCTGAGGTCCCTCTCCATGTCCAGAGAGGGACAGGTAATGTACCAGGTTCTATAGAGAGCTAATCGGAGAAAGTTAAAGGAATTGTCCACACTCTGAGTGGTGAGGTATTGAAGCACTTTAGAAGCTATTTAATCTTTCACAAAGATAAAACCTCTCATCAGACTATATTTAAATATAGACATAATATACTTTGTAGAAAAGAATCACCTTGTTCATATAGAAGAAATTTTTCTATCACTAAGTAATCCTGTTTTAGTTCAAGGTTAGTGTAATTAATTGGGCTTGAATACATTAAAAAATTAATCATCCTTACATGTGCATACAGTTTCTTCTTAAAGGCCACCCTTTGTGTTGCACGTTCACACATGATCTGTAAAGCACGTTCTGCCAAACCTACTGTTCTCATGCAATGGTGGATTCTGCCAGGTCCAAGGCGGCCTTGGGCAATTTCAAATCCCCTTCCTTCACCTATGAAAGAAAAGGCAAGGCCAAATTCACTGCCATCAAGTTAATTCTGACTCATAGTAACCCCCAGTGGGTTTCTGAGGCTGTAACTCTTTACAGAAATAGATTGCCCCATCTTCTCTCTGGGAGCTCTGGTGGCATAGTGCCTAAGGCACTTGACTGCTAACCAGAAGGCTGTCGGTTTAAACCCACCAGCCACTCCTCAAAAGGAAGGTTGGGCAATCTACCTCCGTAGTGATACTGCCTCAGAAACTCAAGGAGGGGTAGCTATGAGGCGGAGACAACTTGACAGCACATAACAACAACAACATCTTCCTTTCAGTCATACAATGTCGAAGTTATTTATGCTTTTAACTTTTATGTTGTTGTTTTTGTTATGTGCCATCGAGTCAGCCCTGACTCATAGCGACCTCTCCTTCAGTTTCCAAGGCAGTATCACTACAGAAGTAGGACTGCCCAACCTTCCTTCCGAGGGGTGGCTGGTGGGTTTGAACCACCAGCCTTCTGGTTAGCAATCAAGTGCCTTAGGCACTATGCTACCAGAGCTCCTTTTAACTTTTATAAAGGACTTGAATTCAGAAAGCAATGAAGTTTTCTTAAAACAAATAGAGGCTTGCTTGAGAGTTTTAGGAAAAAGTGTGTTTCCCTGAATTGTATTATTTTTGTATTTAGTTATGTTTTCAATTGGTGTGCTATACAAAAACACATCCAAAACTTAAATTAAACCATATTATTCTATGTAAAGGAGCTCTGGTAGCGTAGTGCCTAAAGGACTTGACCACTAACCAGAAGGCTGGTGATTCAAACCCACCAGCCACTCCTTGGAAGGAAGGTTGGGCAATCTACTTCCATAGTGATACCGCCTCGGAAACCCAAGGAGGGGTCGCTATGAGTTGGGTTCGACTCGATGGCAAATAATAACAATTCTATGTAAGGAAATCTAAAAAACAGATTTTTTTCCCTTGGTAAATGGAGTAAATAAAAATGAAAAGTATTTAAATTAAGGTTGGCTACATATTTTTTTCATATTCAGGCCTAAAAATATTTTAATCCACAATTCTGGAGAGTCATTGCTCCAAAATCATCTCACCTAGTATTAAATTGGTGGCAGGAACTCGCACTTGTTTAAAATGGATCTCAAAGTGTCCTCCATGCAAATTATCTATAAAATAGAAGATAAAATTTTAAGCACCAAAATATGTTGACAAAAGAATTAGCCACACATAATTAATCTGATGAAGTAAAATCACTAAAAGAAGGTAAGAGGTAAAAGTCTCTGTGTCTCATGGACATTCCTAGGTAGACCTCAGCCCTGAGCCCCTAACACTCAGCAGCCCAGAAAACTCATTAACTATTCAAGATGAAAGAGATCTTAGACATCCTTGGATCCAGAGGTTTTCAAACTTGTTCTCTAAAGTTTTAGTGCTATGAAAAGGGAAGACTGGGCTCCACAGCTCCAACCAGACTAGTATTTCTTCTTGGAAATGTTTTAATTTTTTTTTTTTTTTTTGTCCAGCACCATTTATTTTTTGGCATACTTTTTTTTAAAATTGTGATTTGGGTGAAAGTTTACAGAGCAAATTCACTTTCCATACAGCAGCTCACATGACATTGACTTTGTCTCATGACATTGACTACATCTTCTTGGAAATGTTTTACATATAGCTTCCAATAATATTTGTCTTGGATTTAAAAAAGAAAAAAAAAAGGCTCCAGATTCAAAAACTGCAAGTGAGTAATGTGATTCAACTTTCTCATTTTATCATCGTGAAAGCCAATGCCCGAAGATGAGAACAGCCTGCTCAAGGGGACAGAGCAGGTTCAGCATTAGTGATGGAACAGAGATTAAACTTGTGGGTAGGTTCACTCTCAGTCTAGGCTTGTTCCACTATGTGTTTGCCTCTTGAAAATACTGGTACTTGAATCCTGGAGACAGAACACATTCATGCATTTGTCTTTGCGTCATACTTCTTCCTTGCCAAGTTCTGCAGATAACCTCACACCCTTTTCTTGTCAATAGACATTAGTAATCAACATTCTCTCCTATGTTTCTTTTGTCCTTAGGCACAGAGGTTAGTGGATCTGTCAGACTGAATATTCAAGTGCAGGTTTTGTGATGGAGGGTATTTGCAGCCAACATATATAAACCCATTTTGAAGGTCTTTTAGGACATTGCTCTGCAGTCCAACACTTCTCCATGCACAATTTGCACTAGTGATCTTGTTCATCCCCATCTTGCCACTGCACTTAACCTGTGACTAAATCTGCTGCATCCTACAGAAGGTGATGATGCCAAAAGCTCTATAAACTGTGTCTTGTCCTTGCTATTAGGCATTTTCATCAGCCATATCCAACCATAAAAAAAGTCAGGATCACCACAGAACCTGAAGTGTAATCAACTTTTTCATAGCATTTATCACCTTCTGAGGCATTTGTTTGTTTATGTATTCGTTTGGAAAGACTCTGTAGTTTCTGGAGCCAAATTGGCTATAACCTTTAAGAAAGCTGCTCACTCGGTGTCATAGTTTAAAGTTGTATCAACTTGACTTGGCCGTGATTTTGAGTGGCTTGGCAGCTGAAAGTAGTTACTCCCATGATGAGATTGGACATGGTATAATGACATCTATGGTGGAATATGCTGTGAGCAGATAATTAGGTGAAGGGGAGTTGCCTTCAGGGTGTGGCCTGCTTCCATTAAACATGGAAAAGTTTCGGTAAAGGTTGCTAGTTTTTGCTCATTTGGGGATCCTGCATTTGGCTCATCATAATTTCCAGTTCCTAGACTTGAACCAGTGGCTTGCTATATTGCCTGACACTCTCGAGATTGTTGCCTGCACAGCCTGTGAGCCAACAACCTGCCACTTTACCTGCCTATCTTGGATTCATCAGCCTCAGCAGCCAGTAGCTGAGTGAGTCAGGAGAAGCCCCCAGCTTGCTCCAGTGGACCTGGAAGGCAGAGCTAAAGCCCAACATTGGGCCTCTACCTATCTCCTAGAGCCAGCAATTCTGAACTCAGATTTCTAGCCTAGTCTTGAGCTAGAGCCACAATTCTTAATTCAGAGTCCTAGCCTCCTAACCTGTAAGAGAATAAACTTCTGCTTGTTAGAGCCATCCATTTGTGGTAGTTCTGTTATAGCAGCACTAGAGAACTAAGAATTTGGTACCAAGAGTGCTGCTCTAACAGACACCTAAAATGTGGAAGCAGTTTTGGACGGGGTAAAGAGTAGAGGCTAAAAGTCTGAGACACCAGCCATGGATCTTCTGCAGTGCCACTGGGTGGGTTCAAACAGGAAAACTTTATGTTAGTAGCTGAGTGCAGACCATCTGTGCCACTCAGGAACCTTGCATTTATCATCTTCTAATATGCCATATAATCTTATTCATGCATCTGTAGTTATTGCCCCTCTCCTTTCACCAGCATGTAAGCTCCATGAGGGTAAGGCTCTTACTCTGTTCTGTTCACTAATGTATTTCAAACATCTAGAATGGTGCTTAGCACTCAGTATCTACTGAGTGAATGACAAGAGTATCCTGGAAACAGCAGACATGTGCACAGGGTGGATGGCAGCACATACAAGTGTGCTTCCTTCTTAACAGCTCCAACCCAGGGCAGAAAGAAGGAAAAGTTTTGTATTCATATATGTCAAAACTCATTAACAGCTCTTATGTTGTTGTTGTTCTTGTTAGGTGCCGTTGAGTTGTCTCTGACTCATAGCAACCCTATGCAGAGCAGAATGAAACACTGCCCAGTGCTATGCCAGCCTTATAATCCTTGCTATACCAGAGCCCATCATTGCAGCCACTATGTCTATCCATCTTGTTAAGGCCCTTCCCCTTCTTTATTGACCCTACAGTTTATCAAGCATGATATCCTTCTCCAGGGAATGGTTCCTTCTGACAACATGACCAAAGTAGGTGAGACGAAGTCTGGCCATTCTTGCTTCTAAGGAGCATTCTGGCTGCACTTCTGCCAGGACAGATTTGTTAGTCCTCTTAGCAGACCATCGTACTCTTAGTATTCTTTGCCAGCACCACAACTCAAAAGCATCAACTCTTCTTTGGTCTTCCTCATTCATTGTCCAGATTTCACATGCATTAAGAGGTGACTGAAAACATCATGGCTTGGGTTAGGTGAACCTTAGTCTTCAAGGAGACATCTTTGCTCTTCATCACTTGAAAGAGCTCTTTTGCAGCAGATTTGCCTGTTTTGGTTACTTAGTTCCGCTCTGACAAGAATATACCACAAATGGGATGGCCTTAACAAACAGTTTATTCTCTTGCAGTTCAGGAGGCTAGAAGTCCAAGTTCAAAGTGCCAGGCTCTAGGGGCTGGGTGAAAGCCCCTCAGCCTTGGGTTTCAGCTGTGCCTCCAGCTCCTGGCCCACTGAAGCTAGAGGCTTTTCTTCACTCAGACAGCTGCTGGCTGCTGAGGCTGCCAAGCTCAAGGTTGACAAATAAAAAGGCACAGTCCTGATGTTACAAGATCACATGGCAGGCTATTAATTCAAGTCCATTGTTAAGTCCCCAGGTCAGTAGAGCATGGCAGGCTGCTGAACAACAACACAGCTACTACAGGCAGGGTTCAAGTGTGCCACAAGTTAGAGACCATTCCCCAAGGCTTCTGCTTATATACAGGAAGCAGACCACATTCCCTAAGGCAGTTACTCAGCTGCTTGTGGTAGATTCCATCATGGAGTTGATTGCTGGTCTCATCATGGGGAATAACTACCACCAGCTGCCCAGCCACTCAACCAGGCTCAGCAAAGTTGACACACAAACATAACCACCACATTGCCCAATGCAATATGTCATCTGATGTCTTGACTGCTGCTTCTATTGGTGTTGATTGTAGAATCAAGTAATATGAAATCCTTGACAACTTCAATCTTTTCGCCATCCACCATGAAGCTGTTTATTGCACCAGCGGTGAGGATTTTTGTTTTCTTTATATTGAGGTGTCGGAAGGAAGGTGGGGCAATCTACTTCCATAGTGATACTGCCTCAGAAACCCAAGGAGGGGTCACTATCAGTCAGGTCTGACTTGATGGAAAATAACAACAACAAATAACAACAAATCCATACTGCAGACTCTAGTCTTCAATCTTCATCACTAAGTGCTTCAAGTCATCCTCACTTTCAGCAAGTAAAGTTTTGTATCTGCATATCACAGGTTGTTAATGAGTCTTCCTCCAATCCTGATGCCACGTACTTCTTCATACAGTCCAGCTTCTTGGATAATTTGCTCAGCATACAAGTTGAATTAATATGGTGAAAGAATACAACACTAATGCACCCCCTTATTGATTTTGAATGATGCAGTATCCCCTTGTTCTGTTCAAATGACAACCTCCTGATATATGTACAGGTTCCTCATGAGTATAATCCAGTGTTCTGGAATTCCCATTCTTCTCAATGTTATCCACAATTTGTTAAAATCCACACAATCAAATGCTTTTGCATAGTCAATAAAACATAAACATCTTTCTTTGCTTGCAGCTAAGATCCATCTGACATCAGCAATGATATCTCTCATTCCATGTCCTCTTCTGAATCCACCTTGGATTTCTGGAAGCTCTCTGTCAATATACTGCTACAACCATTTTTGAATTATCTTCAAGATTTTATTTGCATGTGATATTAATGATATTGTTCAATAATTTCCACATTCTGTGGGATTACTTTTCTTTGGAATGGGTAAAAATATGGATCTCTTCCAGTCAGTTGGCCAGGTAGCTGTCTTCCAAATCTCTTGGCATAACTGAGTGAGCACTTCCAGTGGGGCATCCATTTGTTGAAACATCTCAGTGGGTATTCCATCAATTCCTCGAGCCTTGCTCTTCACCAATTCCTTCAGTGCAGCTTTGACTTCTTCCTTCAGTACCATTGGTTCTTGATCATATGCCACCTCCTGAAATGGATGAACATCAACCAATTCTTTTTGTTACAGTGACTGTGTATTCCTTCCATCTTCCTTTGATGCTTCCTGCATCATTCAATATTTTGCCCATAGAATCTTTCAATATTGCAACTCGAGGCTTAATTTTTTTTCCTCAGTTCTTTCAGCTGGAGAAATGCTGAGTGTGTTCTTCCCTTTCGGTTTTCTAACTCCAGGTCTTTGCACATTTCATTATAGTAATTGGCTTTGACTTATCAAGCTGCTCTTTGAAATCTTCTGTTCATCTCTTTTATCTTGTCATTTCTTCCATTTGCTTTAGCTACTCTCTGCTCACGGGTAAGTTTCAGAGTCTCTTCTGACATCCATTTTGGTCTTTTCTTCTTATCTTTTTAATGACCTCGTGCTTTCTTTGTGGATGATGTTCTTGATGTCAACCCACAATTCCTCTGGTTTTCAGTCATTGGTGTTCAATGCATCAAATTTATTCTTTAAATGGTCTCTAAATTCAGGAGGGATATTATCAAGGTCATATGTTGGCTCTCGCAAACTTGTTTTAATTGTTTTCAACTTCAACTTGAACAGGCATATGAGCAATGATGGTCTGTTCCACAATCTGCTCCTGGCCTTGTTTTGGCCGAAGATATTGAAATTCTCCATCGCCTTTTGCCACAGATGTAGTCAGTCTGATTCCTGTGTATTCCATCTGGTGAGCCCCATGTGTATAGTTGTCACTTATATTGAAAAAGGTATTTCCAATGAGTAAGTCATTGGTCTTACAAAATTTTATTATGTGATCTCCAGCGTTACTTCTATCTCCAAGGCCATATTTTCCAACTACCAGTAACTCTTCTTTGTTTCCAACTTTTGCATTCCAGTCACCAGTGATAATCAACACATCTTGATTCCACGTTCAGTCAATTTCAGACTGCAAAAGTTAGTAGAAATCTTCAATTTCCTCATCTTTAGCTTTGGTAGTTGGTGCATAAATTTGAATAATAGTAGTATTAACTGCTCTTCTTTGTAGGCATATGGATATTATCCTATCACTGACAGCACTGTACTTTAGGACTGATCTTGAAACACTCTTTGTGACAATTAATGCCACATTGTTCCTCTTTAATTTGTCATCCTGGCATAGTAGATCATATGGTTGTCTGATTCAAAATGGCCAAAACCAGTCCATTTAAGCTCACTAATGCCAAGGATATCGATCTTTATGCATTCCATTTCATTTTTCACAACTTTGAATCTTCCTAGATTCATACTTCGTACATTCTATGTTCCAATTATAAACAGATGTTTGCATCTGTTTCTACTTATTTTGAGTCACGCCACAGCAGCCAACAGAGGTCCTGAAAGTTTTACTCTATCCACATTATTAAGATCATCTCTACTCTGAGGAGTCAGCTTTTCTCCAGTCAAATTATGAGTGCCGCTGACCTGATGGGCTCACCTTCTGGCACTATATCAGACAGTGTTTCACGGCTATTAATAAAGTTTTCCAGTAATATATCAGAATGCATTTTGCTGCTATTCATAAGGTTTTCATTGGCCTATTGTTTGAGAAGTGGATGACCTCTTCCTTCTTCTGAGTCTGTCTTAGCCCAGAAGCTCCGCTGAAACCTGTCCACCATGGGTAATCCTGCTGGCATTTTGCAACATGGTGGCATAGGCTCCAGCCTCATAGCAACATGTAAGCCATCACAGAAAGACAAACTAATAGACAAGTTCATCCCCCTTAGTTGTTCCAAACCCCTCTGCACCTGCCTACCTCGGGCACTGGCCTTAATATAGAGCTACCCCCTAGTGAAAAGCAGCCTCCAAGACCTGGTCTGCCTACCTCAGGCCCAGACCTTGATAAAGAGCCTCCCCCCAAGCAAAAAGCAGATTCCAAGCCTCGGGTTCTTATAGGTTGATAATTTAATTAAGAAACCTAAACTTAAAGACAAAAGTGAGATTCCATGTGGTTTCTCTAGACTGAGTTTACTATATGTCTATTTAATTAATCCACTTCCATGGATGACAGAAATAAGACGGCAGTTAGAACTCCTGTTCCTTGAATACAATCTGCCTTTCCAAACAAATAAACAAAATAAAGTAGAATGATACACCACTCTTGTTTTATTTGACCTGTTCTGAACTCCACCAGAATTTATATTAAGTTATCACAGCCAAAGTGATTTCTAAGAACACATGTCATATATGAAAATGTTATCAATTCCCTTCAATGCTTGCCAATGTGTGGATGTTTACTGAGTACTTACCCATGAAGCCAAAAACTGACAAAGGCCTTATTAATTCTACTCCAGGTGTGTCGATAGGAACAAGAATCATGCTGTGTTGTTTGTGTCTAGTGAAAAAAAGAACAGATGTTAGGAAAAGTTTACTAAGAAGAAAAATAAAACAGATGTTAGGTGGAGTTGCAATTTTCTTTTCTTTTCTGTTATCATTTAAGCAATGATACTTGAAATGCGAAACATGTAAAAGATATACACTGAGCAGAGCCTGAGATAGGCTGTGATCTGGAACAGTAAAAGTGATTGGATAAAAAGCCAAAGTTGTTTTATCCAGGCTTCTCTTGATTGTTCAACACTGGGAACTGATACACAAAATTAAACATTTGAAGACAACTGGGTTTTTTTTTTTTTTTTTAATCTTTGTTGTCTGTACCTCCCATGCATTCTCTCTGTCTTCCTCTTCCTCAATGCCACTGTGTTGATCACTCACATTTGGTACATTGCCCTTCCCTTCACCCAAATCAATACTTGTCTCTATCTATCTAGCAGACCATTGCTTTTTGTCTAAACATCTAGTCATTTAATTATTACAGACATTATAGAAAAATTTTATGCATCTTATAATCTGATTCATAGGAGTCCTGGTGGCACAGTGGTTAAAATGCTTGGCTTTCAACCAAAAGGTCAGTGGTTCAAACCTACCAGCCTCTCCGCAGAATGATGTGGCAGTCTACTTTCATAAAGAGTTATAACCCTGGCAATCCTATGGGCAGTTCTACTTTGTTCTGAAGGGACACCAGGAGTGTGAATTGACTCAGTGGTAGTGAGTTTGGTTTTGACTATAATCTGATCCAAACAGCTTTAAGAACACAGCAATACTTTTTAATGTAGGAAATTCCACAGCAAGGAATACACAGAAACACTCCTTAAAAAGTCTTCCAAATATATTTCTTAGCAAAATAACTGTGAAATATGAATATGTGACATTTAATCTCACAACACATTCTATATCATCATGATCATCATGCCCAAACACTGCATTTGAAGTAAATTCCCTGGACAGAGAGAACGATTAACCCTTATTTTTACATAGACTTCTCAATTAGAATTGTTTTATTACCTGGACTGAGAAGGATTTTCAGTTCTTCCCATGACAATTGCAATTTCACAGTTTGGATTCCCAGCTCCTAAAACAGGGAAACAATGAGAATATATCATAAAAATAAATTTCTAGTCTGGTATGTCACCCTGAATGTTCTAAGCCTTCCAGAGTTACTCTTGGCAAATAACAGGGAGAAAATATTATATTTTTTAATAATAATAATGCTTATGTACAAAACTGAACCTCAACAGGAAAAAATGACTAGGAAAGTCCAAGAACAGACTCCATCAGTGAGAGCTGCTGCACAAAAATAACCAGAAATCACAGAAGCCATGTAGCAGCTGCTACCCTTAGGATAAAATGCAGAGTCTCCCATTCAAATCATTTCAGATGTTGCCATACTAGAATGGTTGTGGAATTCTTGTAGAGTATTTCCTCCTATTTAGGTCTCATGTTTTATGACACATGAACAAGAAGGCATTAAAATTCATATGCCATTTATTTGCCAACTGGTGTCTGAGAAAGACCTAATTTTCCCATCCATGGAGTTAGGTGAGGGTGAGTTTGTTGGAGGATTTCTGTCCCTATCTCAATTCATAGTGACCCTATAGAACAGAGTAGAACTGCCCCATAGGGTTTCCAAGGCTGTAATCTTTACAAGAGCAGACTGCATCATTTTCTCTTCAGGAGTGGCTGGTGGGTTCAAACTCCCAACCTTTTGACTAGCAGCTGAGTGCTTAACCACTGTGCCACTGGAACCTGATGCAACAGGTTTTGTTTTGTTTTTTGGTACCTATCCTAGACTATGCAATGTGCTCTTGTCACACCATAAAAAACCCCATTGCCACAACTCACAGCAACCTTTTAGGGTTTCCAGGGCTGTAAATCTTTTCAGAAGCAGACTGCCTCATCTTTCTTCCATAGGGCAGCTGGTGGGTTCAAACTGCCAACCTTTTGGTTAGGAGCCAAATGCTTTAACCAGTATGCCATGAGAACTCCTGTGGAGCAACTGAAAAGGGTATTCGGTACTGTCTGCATATATGAGGCTCTGATCCCTTCTTCAGGAACCCCAGGTTCTTATTATTTAGGGTCAGAAATTTTTAAATATAATGTTACTCTCAGTTTAATTCAAACTTTTTTAAAACCACAGTTTGGGAATCTGTGGCGGTCCCTCAAAGGGGCATTCTTGCAAAAAATGTATTTCATTTTCACAAGTCTAAGCACTTGGTCCCTCAGGGAAAAATACCATGGACAAGTACAATTACAAGGCCATAAACAACTGGATCAGATTAAGTTAATCATATTTTTACAAGGCCTTAAATTATCAGAGTTGTTCCCCATCACCACCACCAATTTCTCATAAGAAGTGACTTAATGGGATTTAAAATATACGAAGATTCACTGAGCAATGTTAGGAATTATATTAAATACTCAAATAACACCATAAAATCCCAAGTGTTTAAAGAATAAACACAGAACACATTAAAGGACAGTGCAAGGAAGTAATTAGTAAAATCCAGACTGTGGAACACCTACAAAACAAACAATCCAGTTTCTTCAACAACAAACCTGTAATAAAAAGAAAATGAGAGCAGGAGAGGGATTTTATGAGTTAAAATACTCTTAAAAGAATTATCAACCAACAGTAATGTGTAGACCTTATCTGCATCCTAATTTAAACAAACTGTAAAAAAAATTGGCAATTATGAAACAAGTAGAAATTTGAATAACCACTGGATAAATAATGATATTAAGTAATTTTAGGTGTGCTAATGATATTGGGAGCTCTGGTAGCATAGTGGCTAAGGCACTTGATTGCTAACCAGAAGGCTGGCGGTTCAAACCCACCAGCTACTCCTCGGAAGGAAGGATAGGCAATCTACTTCCGTAGTGATACCACCTCAGAAACCCAAGGAGGGGTCACTATGAGTCGGGTCCAACTCGACAGCACATAACAACAACAACAGCAATGATACTGCTGTGGTTTTATTTTTACAAGAGCCCCTACTCATATATATACTGCAATATTTATTAAGGAAATGATATGATGTCTGGGATTTATTTCAAATAATATGGGGAGAGAAGGGATGGGCATATGGATGAAGCAAGATTGACCATAAGTTGAAAACTGTTGAATCTCTAAAGCTAGTTAAGGAGTATTCCTGGTAAGTGTAAAAATGTGCAGCAGGGCTATGAAGGAGAAATGCAGATGGTATGTGAAAATGTCTGGAAACAGCTCACATAATAATGAATATGATGGGTAAGGGAGGCAGGACCCAGAGGAAAGAGATGCCATAACTCTTGAGACTAAGAGGGAAGTGGGAAAAGAACTGAGTTTGAACTGCTGACCTCTGTTTAGCAGCCAAGCACTTTAATCACTGAGCCACTAGTGCAAAGATGATTAGGTAAGAAGCAGAGAACAAAGTAAGCAGAAGCAAAGAAACAGAAGACAAGATAGAAAAGCAAAATTAGAGAGAAAGGGCCTACTTTAAACACTAGCATATTTGAAACTGTGAAACTCCTTACAGTTGCATATCTGGGTCTATAGAAGAAACAAATGAAATAGAATGCTTAACTATAGCTCTTGAAGAGATTTCAGCTTGAAGGGATACTAAATAAACAGAGAAGTATACAATGAAAACTATCTAGAATTTCATGAAGTTCTGAATGGAAGCCAAATTGGTTGTTGTTGTTATGTGCCGTCGAGTCGGA